TCTTAGTAATTTGCAGAAAAAGGGGTGAATCCAGCTTTGTAGTTTGGGTTGCACCCAGGGAAACAACATCCTGCATGAAGTACTTTAGGGGCAGCAATTTTGAATTTTGAAAACTCTTATACCAATTTTGCTGGTTTTATCTATGAAAAAAATAAAATATGTTTCCTTATGAAACCCTGTTACAACTACCACATGTCTCAGTGATTCAATTACCCCAGGGAAAGGCCAGCACAATGTTTGCATTTTACTTCTTTGCAAGCAGCATCTCATTGGAAAGGGAAACTTTATACCACACAGGGGAACTCAAAATTTCCTTTCAAAACAACATCTAAATCAGACCTAAAGTCTGCCTAGTGAAGTATGTTTCTTTTTCTTAGCAGTGGCCAACAGCAAGCACTTAAAGAAAGAAAAGGAGGATCCAAGTGAGTTTAATGTGACTCTTTCCAGTCACACCCTTTTCAGCTTCTGATAATCACTAAGTAATGATTTACTGAACCAAAAATTTCTAGTTTATCATAGTGGGCCTAAGTTAACTACAGCAGCAAGATAATGAGAAATCCTCAGAAACAAAGGCAAAAAACTGACCTACAGCACAAATGTTACAAAAACATGGAAAACTTACCAGTCTGAAGTTAGGCAATGAAACAAACAGAGTAATTCAAATATCCCTGAAGAACTGTGTAAACAGAGCAAATAATTAATGAAATTTATTACTTATGGCTTGATTGGAGCCTGGAGCCAGACCCTGCAAATAAAGCTCCTCTCTCTTAGTAGAATAGGAAAGATAACTCTTTATGAATAGTAAAACAGAAAAAACCCCAACAAACAACTACTACAAATTAAGATAATTTCTTTAAACAAGTCAACATGTATTGATCAGAACTAGGAAATTGCTCAACCTGAGCAGGTTTGTACAGAATCATGGAATAATCTAGGTCAGAAGAGACCTCTGGAGGTCTCTAATTCTACACTGTCCAGTTGGGTTTTGAATATTCCCAAGGATGGGGTTTCCACTGCCTTCCTGGGCCACTGTTCTACCACTCTCAGTATGAAAATATTTCTCTTTGTATTCATCTGGGATTTTCTTTAATGAAACTTAAGCACACTACCCCTCACCTTTTTTGCTATTCACCATTGAGAGGAGCCTGGCTCTGTCTTCTCAAAACTCAACCATTAAGATAGCTGAACAAAACAATACAGGATATCCCCCAAACTTGCCTGAACAAGCACAGCTCTTGCAATCTCTGAGCACGACGTGCTCCAACCCTTTCCTCTCAGCAGCCCTACAATGGACTCACTCCTGTCCAACACTGCACACAGTTCTCCAAAAGTGACCCCAAAGTGATGAACAGAGGGGACGAGTTGCTTGCCTCGACCTGCTAAGGCTCCTCCTAATGAGATTCCTTAATTGCTATGAGGGTGCACTGCTGACTCACAACCAACTTGGTCACATCCAACATATGAGTAATGAGATTACAATAAGGATGTTTATAGAGCATTTAGAAGATGCCTCTATAATGCCAGGGCAGCAACAGATAACACATCTGCTCATTGCCATGTCAACTTATTTTATCAATTCCTAAGGCCTTTGCAAACGTCTGCAATCTCATAATTCAGCAAAAAGAGAATTACAAAAAGAACAACCCAAAGCAAACCCAAACCACAACAACAACAAAAAAGAAGTGGAGGTAGAAACTGTTGTTTTAAGAAGACGGTAGGAGACAACAACTCAAGTATAAGGACTTATGAGCGACAAAATAACAGCCAGAACTTACTCTACAAAGTTAAAAGCCATCTGTGCCCATCACAGAAGAGAAGCATCTTAAATAATTTCTTCTCTATTCACAGAACAAAAAGGTAGATCTAGTTTGCCATCAGATTCACTTCAAGGGAACCCACATGAGAACAAACTGCAGTAACTGCAGATTGGCTACAACAAACTGCAACTGAATTGCAATGCTACAAAAATCAGGCTTAACTTTCAGGAAAATCCAGAAGCCAAAGACAAAGAGGACTCCCACATTGCGGAAAAAAACCTTGAACAAAGGCTAAATTCCAGGACACTTCACCAATTCTTTCACTTACTCTAGTTCACATGCATTTCTCCTGATATCATCACACCAGCTTCTGTTCCATTTTAGTTAATTCATGTCAAGCCAAAAAATTATTAGCCAAATGCAAACTGTTCATTATGAACTTTCGGAATAGAAAATAGATTGCTATGAACATCCTGGTAGCAGCTGAAGTCTTACTCTTTCCTTGTACCTCTTGATGGCCAAAGAAAAGCTAAAGTAAACAGGGGAACCCAAAAAGCGACACTATGGAACTGAAGTGTCTGATTCTCCAGTTATTTGTTATCTTCTCTGTTAAGGAGATGGTATTTAATGACAAGGAGGATCTGCCCATCTCCAGTTGTTCACAAGGGTTTTAACTGTTTAACTTTCCGATAGGATATTGATGCATGATGAGAGCAGCAACTACCTGACAGTTGCAACTAGAATTAAAGACAGATTATTCTAAATAAAATGGTACAGACATACAATCTTAGTGGCGTTACTTTAGATTCTGCATCACATGAACCCATAATTGGGACACAGAAGTTCTAGTACTACTTTTATTCTTCACTATTGCTTTAAAAAGGCAATGCTTAAAACAATGACTTTTTTTTTTTTTTTAAGATGGTATAGTAAGCAATATTTCTCTTAAAATTGCAGCTGTCCAAAAGTTTGAGTCTGTTCTTTTTAAAATGAAACAGCCAGAACAAATGGTGGTGGCAATCCCAACGTAAAGAGGCCATCAATTATTAAAATCTCTTTACTATAAATCGTGGCTGTTGCTTGTCAGCTTGGTGTGTGACTGAAGTGTGAATAAGTAGAAAAATTCCACTAAGGCTATAGTTTGCTTGATCATTCTGCTGAGCAAAAATAGAAATAAATACTCTCCCCATCCTTTTACTCCTTAGTACCAAAACATTCACACACACATTAAGAAAAACTGCAATGGTGCAACGGTCACTGATCCAATTCCTTTCTTTCCTGAGTCTGTCCTGATGCTACTTATGAATTTGCCTACTCAAGAAATGCAATAAAACAGAAAAAAAAGACTGCTTCGGTCTGCTTCAGCAATCTATATCTAAGGAAAGCACATAAATTTTCCAATTAAATCCATAAATGAAAGACGAGGCCAAGCCCTACCTATATATATTCAAAGTCAGAGAGACAAAGAGGTGCCAACTCTGTGCCCTCTGAAAGCACAAAAATCTCCTCCACACTTACCTAAGCAATTTTCACAATATTAACAGATGTAAAGATGATCCAGTTAGCCTATGCCTTGATGGGGTTCAGGCTGGCTAAAACCTGCTGAGGAGCCACATTTTAGAAGTTCACAATGCTATCTGATAGGTAAGCATGAGGAAGGGATGAGAACAAGCCAATTAACAGTAATTTCCCTTCGTTCCCTCCACCTTTAGATGTGCAGGGAAGAAAAGGGAAGCACATCCTTCAGAGTAAGCTGTTTTCCCCTTCTTAAGCTATTCCCACGTAAACTGGGAAGAAAAAACTGGAATGTTGTGGAAAAACCATGCAAATTTTGATATATCTATATACCAAAATTTACATAGGTTTTTAATTTTGATTTTTAATGTAACACAGTCCTGCCCGTCTCTAACACTTCCCGTGCCGTTTCCATTGAAATGTTTCCTCTTACCGGCAGCAACATATCATTTTATCAGGATGCCAGGAGATCATTTCCACACAATGCCAGCAGATGTAATTTTCTCAGATGCACACACAGTTCATCATTTAGATACTAGATGACAAGGTGATCACAGGGTGACTCTGTAATGCAAGTTTGCTGTTTGGTATTTTGAATTCCCAAATGATAAAAAAAAGACTTATCAAATATAAATATCTTTAAGAAAAAAGTAACAAAAGTGCTACATATGATCAAGGAAAACAATTCCATTAGTTTCTGCTACTTAAAAGTAGGTTTGCTTTACAAATATTACCACATCCATTATCAGTATGGCTTCCAATTATTAATTAAATTGCTCGTAGCAGTATAGCTTTCTCACATCTTAACAAGGACAGAGTAAAGAGAACACAAAACATTCACACCCCATTTCTCAAGTAAGAGATCCTCCTGCCTTTAAACAAACAAAAGTTCATATTTAGGAGAATACTTAAGCTATGATGGTTATCTGGCAAAGGTCAGATGCTGAAGTTCTCCAATAAACTTTCAGGCTAGTCAGGAAATAGGCATTAGTTACACTGATGTGTAAAAATTCACTCACCCATTTTATGACCTTAATACCTTCCTGGAAAAACATTGCTTTTGAAAGTGGCAAAGTGGAGAGGGGAGGTGGGGACAGAAAAGGTGAGAGGAAGAATAAAAGGTGAGATTGTTAATGACAGATCAATAGAGTCTAGACCTCTTCTGAGCAGGCACTGCCAGCCATGCCAAATAATGAATAGTGGTTTTGAGAAGTGGACTGTTGTCCATTAGACATTCAGCTCATTTTTCATATGATCCCAGGCTGGGCTTCAATCATGGTCCCAGAGGCAGAAGGCAGTACTTATCCACTAAGCCACGCAGCTTGTGAGAGTAGAGGATGTCTGTGTTGAATATGTGAACATCAACCAAAATGTGTGAACGTGTTTCCAATGGACATTCTCAGCACAGCACCCAAAAGTATATCAAGTCACTGTATGACCAGTGAGGCACGGCTTATTGCAGCTGGAAATAATTTATTCCCATGCTGAAGTGGGGTTTCTAGTGTTCTTTTTACTCTCTGTTGATACTCCCGATCTGATGTCCATCGGCCCTGTGCCACTACCTCAGCTTGCATCCTTTCAGTCTCAGAGAAGGAAAAGCGTACAGACTACCTTTTTAACACGATCTCTAAGGGTATCCAAGATTTTAAGTGTAGCCTAAGACTTGTAATTGAGGGCTGTCTAAAATACCTGGAAGCACTTTGAATGCTAAGACAGAGCAGCAAGATTTTTCTAGCCACTGGGGCTGGGAGAGGGAGGTTGGTTGGTTGATTGATTATTTATTGGGAATTAATACTGAGAGAGTATATGCAAAGGCTGAGGGCACCATGCCATCTTCACAGAACAAGACCCTAACAGCTAACTGACGTACAAGAAACTGCAAAGTTATACTGTAAGAACACATATTAAGGACCGAGGAAAGTCTGCTAAGGTGCTACGTCTAAAACTAAGTTACGTCTTGCTTTGACCCTCCCCTTTCTTTGTATCAGTCGTCGTCTAGAGCCTCTGTCTTGATCTCGTTGGCTCCTTGCCGGGCCAATGCCAAGATGGTGTGGTTTACTGCTGCCATTTCCACAGCTAATGAGATGGGGTCTTGATGGTCACTATGGCTAGTGCTGTCATCCTGTGCATGCAGAAAGGAAAAAAAGAGAATCATTGTTACTCCGGGAGTAGAAAACTAGTGGATACAACTAGTGTGTAAAGTAATGGACTTAGGGGCAGAGCATTGCAAGTTTGTTGCAGGGTTATAAAGTGAAAGGAATGTACAGAATTGATTTAGGGCTGATTTCCCTCACTGTGCAGACAAAAGGTAGGCAGGGCAAGGACTGGCATACCCGATTTTCAATTTGAGGGAGAGAGGAGAATATTCTGAGGAAAATATTAAAGATAAAAGTGATATACAGGTTTTGTCAGGAAGTCAAACTAAGACAGGAATCATTATCCACTGCACAAATTAATGCCATCCCTACATTTTGAATCCTGTATACAGTTCTAATCATCCCATTTGAAGAGGACACAAAAGAACTAGAAAAGGTAAAGAAAACAGCAACCCAGGGGAAGAGAGGCATGGGGCGGCTTCCTTATGAGGAGAGGCTAAATAGGCTCAGGTTGGAAGAGAAATGGCTGATGGTTGATATGGTAAATGTTTATTACAAATAATTAGTAAGTAGAGAGCAGTTGTCTGTGGCTTCTCGTGATCTAATAAGCTAGGGCACTCACTGGAATCATGAGGCAATATATTCCAAAGCAGCAACGGGAAGCACAGCTTTACTTATCATGGTTCAGCTGTAGGACTCACTGATTTTTAGATAAGACAAAAGTAAAAATAGTTTTTAAAAGGGGGGGTTAGACAAGTTCAGGGAAAATTAAGTCTACTAGGAATATGAAAAATGGAAGTGGATACAGTGCCTGGCTCAGGAAGCCTCGCAAAACGACTGACTTTGAGAAGCTGGAAGCTACTATAATACAATCAATCTATAATTGACCTGTTCTTTAAAAATACTTTTTCCTTAAATAATACTATTGACCTCATTCAAAAACAGGATACAAACCTAGACTAACCTTTGATCTGAGCCACTATCCTGTGAAAGCACTGAGCCCACACAGGTACAGGAAAAAAGATTCTGAAAATTTCCTAGACTGGTAAGAAAAATTATGCATTAATTTCAGGGGCTGCCTTCTACAGGTGCGTAACAGCCATGGTCTTTAGCAGACCTGAAAGTCTGACAATTCCAGCACAAATTTTATAGTGAGTTGTGCATGTTTCTCAGTTTGCATCAGAAATAACGCCTTGTTTTCAAGAGTTTGAAGGAAAAGCAGCAATATCCAAACTGTAATTCCAGCTATCAAATAAATGATTCTGGAACTTTGCGCAAAATCACAGTGTCTTCCCCTCTTTAAAAGGGTGCACTAATACTTGCCACACCATGATCTCACTTTAAAAAAAAAAATAATTATACTTACAGAAACAAGATTTTATTTATCAGTCTTCCAACAGCCTTTAAGTGATGGACTTGTGAAATTTAAAATGTATATTGCATATTTTTAAATTAAGATGACAGGTGGCAAATGCTGAGAGGGACCAGAAAAAACAGGGTTTGGTAAAACCCTGAAGTTATTTAAAGGAATGCATCAATTCACAATAAATGTCAAGCAAATATTGTGATGTCCACACACTCTCAGGTCCTCTAAGCAATTATTACCACCATAAGAAATATGAGGTCCTGACTTCTGGAGTTTTAGACCCATCATTAGTATTTAGATGAACTTTTATGTTTTAAAGTTTACTAGAGTTTAAGTGTGGCTGTGGAAAACAAAATTTATGGTTTTAACAGGTAAGGATATCAAGTGGTCATCAAGAGAGCTTACCATTTAATCTGCTTCACTGCTAATGCCTAATTACACCTCATGGAGGAACCCAGCTAGATTACTGAGAAATGTAATTTTTAAGCACTCTAAACAAAGATCTTTTCATTTCAATAGCCAATATATTTATCTTTTAAAAATACTTTGGATAACATACAAAAAAAACATAAGTTTGGGAGTCTATGTAACGCTTCATCTCTGTATTCTGGTCCTGTATCTGACTGACAAGGAATTATCTGTGCTCGGCAGCAGTTTCAAAATATTTTATAAGTCAGAGAGCAGCCTCTCATCATCTAGAACTAGCAAGGGTGGTTCCACCAAATCTGCTTGTGATGACCTATAAAAAGGGCCTTAATAGCCATCAGAAACAGAGTGGCTGGGAATGCCTCTGCCAGATATCTGTTGTGCTGGGCCACAGCCAAGTCTGCAAGAGACTCATTCCAGGACACTCACTTGCTATGACACTTCACCAGCTGCCTTTAGCAAGGGAGACCTACCTATTTCTCCCAAATGAGACAATTAAAAACAATCTGCCCACTCCAACTGTTGGGTGTAGCACAGACCACAGCTCATATTAAAACCAGAACAAAGTCAGTGAACTGTTAAGAGTCCACAGGTGCCAAGCACACTGTTGGCCAACACTAACACCTGAATAAAAATTGGGAAGGGGATGCAATACCTGTCAGGAAGGTGTGTGAAGGAAGGGTCACCAACTTTAGGGTAGGTGAGGGCTCAGAGTGCGGGAAGGGGTATTCTTTTGCTAGAGAATTTAAAAAAGAAGTTGCTGTCAAGGGTTAAAAATAACCAAGAAAAATAGAAAATAGGCAAGAGTTAAAATGCAAGAAGAAAAGAAAAAAGACAGATAATATCTAAACAATCTAAACAGTGGCACATCATTGCAGAACAATATGGAATAGGAACGGGGCCAAATAAGCATCAAATCCTTTCCCCCCCACCCTTCACCCTTTGTCTGTCAGTGTCTTAGGGATGGATCCTGAGATGGTCCTGAAAGGTACTCCTCACAGACACAGAGGGAGCTCAGCACCTTACAGGAGGGTGTTCAGTATTTTGCTGGGCAAGATTGACAAGAGGAATTATAAAATATCCTGGGCAGGGCCTTACTGCTGTACTGGCCTGGGTGCCAGAGAAGCAACTTGCAGAAGCACAGGCTATCATGGAGAATGTGCCACATGGTCTTGTGCCTGGTTTTGCAGGGAAGCATGTGAGTGCCTGATATATGGGAGCAACTGTTAAAGACCTGAACATCATTTCTGGACGGTGAATAACTAGAACAGTGCTGAGGTAAGGAAAGCACAAGTTGTGCATGGTGCACTGTTTGTGCTAACACTCTCCTAACATTTTTCATACATTGCGTGTGGCGTGAATGGTGTAACTTGCTTGTTTGGAGCAGATCCTCCTGTCTTCTTCTACCTTCTCTGCTTCTCTGCCTCCCTCTGAACATCTTCCCTCTTCCTCCCCATTGCGTACTTGCCAAGTGTCCTGTTGTATGACAATAAATCCATGTGGGTGAATACTGCTTGCTCAACACATTTAAACAGGGGAACTGTGCTCTTCCACTTTTCCCCATTACAGTTACAGAAAAGCAAAACAAAACCAGGAGACATCTGATTTGTGACAGCAGCCTCTTTGCATGTCAAGTGAACTTTTTGGGCCACATGGCTCAGCCATGATGCTTACCTGCTCAGAGTAGTCATTGCCATCAACGTCGTCACTGTTGGAATGACCTCCTGGACTCTGTACATCTATTCCATGGCTCTCCAGGATTGCTGCTTCTTCGAAAAAAGCAAATGGATCCCTAATTTATCTGATGCAGTACAATAATTAAAAGTAACTTTTTTTTTTTTTTTCAGCAAGTTAGAATTACTGGAAGAACAGAGTTAGTTCTTAGCCTCTTCCTCTTCTCTCTCCAGTACTTGGGAAGGTAGCACACGTACAGATACTGGTTTGCCTGAACTAACTGTTTTCCCTGTCAACTAACAGACGTGTGTGGGTAAGTATCCTTGCTTTCTAGCCAGTCCTATTAGAAATTAGCTTAATTTCTAATGCACTGGAGTGGCAAAGGCATTCCCTGTAGATCTTCCCACATAGTTTGGATTGGCAGGATTTGAGGGGGGCAGGGAGCATCTGAAAATAAATGGAGAAATTTTTTTAAGCACTTAAGGGATTTAAAAACACATGTATCTTCATCTTCCAGTAGGATCCATGCATCGAAAGCTCCCTTTGGTTCTTTTTAATCTCTTTCCAACCTTCCTCCCCATATAGTACAGATATGGCTGTAGCTCCACCCACCTTGGACTAACTTGTTTTTTTTCCCCTCACCCCTTGAGAGATAGGTTTCATTAAAAAAGTAAATTTAGGTTAAATTTCAGTAACATATTAAACCCATCCTCCCATACTTCTTCGGAAAAAGAAAAGGGCACCCTAATTTATCTGATGCAGTACAATAATTAAAAGTAACTTTTTTTTTTTTTTTCAGCAAGTTAGAATTACTGGAAGAACAGAGTTAGTTCTTAGCCTCTTCCTCTTCTCTCTCCAGTACTTGGGAAGGTAGCACACGTACAGATACTGGTTTGCCTGAACTAACTGTTTTCCCTGTCAACTAACAGACGTGTGTGGGTAAGTATCCTTGCTTTCTAGCCAGTCCTATTAGAAATTAGCTTAATTTCTAATGCACTGGAGTGGCAAAGGCATTCCCTGTAGATCTTCCCACATAGTTTGGATTGGCAGGATTTGAGGGGGGCAGGGAGCATCTGAAAATAAATGGAGAAATTTTTTTAAGCACTTAAGGGATTTAAAAACACATGTATCTTCATCTTCCAGTAGGATCCATGCATCGAAAGCTCCCTTTGGTTCTTTTTAATCTCTTTCCAACCTTCCTCCCCATATAGTACAGATATGGCTGTAGCTCCACCCACCTTGGACTAACTTGTTTTTTTTCCCCTCACCCCTTGAGAGATAGGTTTCATTAAAAAAGTAAATTTAGGTTAAATTTCAGTAACATATTAAATGACATAAAAATAAATTTGTCTTATTTATAAATATGGCAAAAAGAAGCAATCAGCAAAAGGGTGTAATATTGGCAACAATACTGGTAATGGGGCAGGTATGGATCTGTGTTTGTGTACTGTGAATGTAAATCTGCATAGTATCTAATTAAGTGGATAATGTTTTGCAGGCACTGTAGAAGTTTGCTGAATTCTAGCTGCTAATCTGAGTATCTTCACATTCACATGTCTTATGTTCATTCACATCAGAAGGTTATTTCATACAAGTTCAGAATCACTTCTAATTTCCTGACAATCAGCTACAAAGAACCTGTAGTGCTAACTCTGAAGTGACTTTTGTTTTATCCTCGTCATCAAGAAAAAATATTGCTTTGTTCCAGCCACTTGCCACTGTGCAACCCCTTGGAAAGCAGTAAGGAGCACAGGTGTAACCAGAATGAAAAGTTGGCTTGCAGAGTCCTTGGTGCCTGTATCTGAGATGCAGAACAACTCATCTAGACGTTTAGATCCCTGTGGGGTCTCAGGGATGGCAGTAAGAAAGACACTCCCAGGTTTTGGATGAAAGAACAAGCACTATTCAGTGAATCACAGACACAAGGAAACTTACAGCCTGATAAAAGGCCTTCACCACAGTCACTTGTCATTTAAACAGCATGCTAGGGTTGTGAACTTCCAATCGCCTCAATTTCCCTTCCTTCCAATGTAGATATTTAGAGGTTTTATTTTAGATTTTATTTTGGATACCCAAAGGGGCCTGAGTATGGGGAAATACGATTCTCCTTCAGCCAACAAAACTATCACTTTGGTTTTTAAAACTGATCTTCCGGTAAAACTTTGTAACTGCCTCATTTTTCCTGCACAGATGATGAAATTCCATAAATTAAATTCCTGCCTATATTTTAGAAAAAATCTGGAACAGCAAGAGACTAATTTTAAAAATTGCTCCACATTTCTCATAAGGATGTCAGAACCTCTAATATTTTCATTAATATAATCTTACACAATTTCCATCTCTCCTGAGCAAGTGTACATACTAAACCTGGAGAGCAGGCTCTCTGATACATTACCGATATTGGCTCTTCTCTTGATTTCCTTTCTTCTGTTGGCAAACCAATTGTACACTTTAAGGGAGGTAACCCGCTCCAAATCCGATAACTTTTTTCCTATTAAAGGAGTAGGGAAGAAAAAATACTGCATTGTTACTTGCTGGATTCCAGAGGTAGGCAGAAGACCCCTACATGTGATAAAGTCCTGAAATACAGGCAGAAGTAAAAAGTTGTTATAACTGAGAATAAAGTGAATTTCACGTCAGAGTACTGTGCCCAGTAATAAATGCCAAATCTCTGTCTAAAAACAAAGTAGCCTTTCTTCTTTTTTATAAAACCCAAAATACAGGAATTTTCTTTGCAGCTTCAATCAACTAAATCCAGAGCCGTGGGAGAACAGAGGGCTGCTTTTCTAGTTCAAGCACAGAACTGAGATTCAAAAAACTCAAATTCGATTCACAGCCCTGCCACAAATCGCACACCCTTGGGCTAGCTCTCTTGCTATGTGCCACGAGGATACAGTTCAATGACATGTTTTCTTCAGCAGCAAAATGAATTAAGAGATTTTGTGTCCCTCCTGTAATCTGCTTTCCTTCCTCTCCACCATCAGCTGCTACCGTGCTCCTGCAGCACGAATCACACCACCCCAATTGTGCCAGGACACTCACAAACTTTTGGGAGCACTGGGAGATGCTGGAAACCAGATCACTCAAATTTACACTTAGACCAGCAAATAAAATCCCAGCCAGCCATAGGAGACAATCCCTTCTGCTGATCACCAGCATATAAGAAGGATGCCTGGAGGGATTCAGCATTGCTGGGACATCATGGAAACCTCTTCAGCTGGCCTTGGCCCTACATAAAACTTTCAGTCCTCTTCAGGCAACATGAGGATGAGACTTCCCTGCTTCAGACTGTTTCTCACAGTTTATTTATTCAGCATACAAAACATTAATGTAATCGCGGCAAACTGCAAATTTAAATAAGAGATGAGGTAAGTCAAAGAAAGAAAAATCTGGAAATCTATGCTGTTTCCTAATGCTCACAATATTTTACCAAGTCAGAGACATAGCATTTAAGCATTCTGTTCCAAGTTGCTAAACTAATCAGCAGCTCAGCCAGGAAGAAAATCCTAAGCTCTTTGGTGCTCTCCCCACTAGATCATTCTGATTCCACAACAAAAAGACAAAAGGCAACACACAAAATTCGCAACAAGGGAAATTTTGACTATTTTGCCACCAGAGTGCTCAACACTGTGGACCAGGGACCCAGAGGTGGGAAAACCTCCAGTTTTGGAGATACTCAAAACTGAACAGGGCAAAGCCCCGAGCAACCTACTCTAAACTGGTCCTGCTTGACCAGATGACCTCCAGGTCACTTCCAGCCTGAATTGCTCTGTGATTCTGTGCTATACCATTACTGTTACAAAGTTTGAAAGTCGCACTTGAGCTTTCTTTTGCATTGATTTTTTATTTTGGTTCTAAAAAAATTTCATCTAAATATATCTGAAATACAAGTTCTAAAAACTATGTAAGTGTTTGGTTAGTGAAGCTAAGCAAAGGCAGGTGCATCCACTATTGCTACACTGAATATTCATGCTGCTCTCTCAAGTATGATTTCTCCAGGATCAGGGTAAGTGCAACCTGGTGTCCCAAATACAAGGCCTTCTATTAATACAGAGACTGCAATAACAGGCCCCTGTCTAGAAGCTGTAAAGAAAATGGAAAGACAGGAAAACTGTGCTCCTTACTCCTCCAAGGAAGACCTATTTAACCTCTGACAAGTCTCAGTCTATGAACTTAAAATTTTCCATCTGTTAAAGGGAACCAGTAAAACCCACCTCTGTGGAGTGTAATAAAAATTCTCAGATCACTACTGACCACTTGAATAAGTACTCTGAAATAACTGACTCCAAAATAACTGAATTCAAAGAGTGAAAACCTTTCAGACATTTACTTTCTTCACAATGCCATTTACAAAGCTGTATAAATGCAATGTTCAGAAACACAATTTGTACTTTGTATGCCAAATGGTGGGAATTTAAGTTTCATTTAGGCTTTACAATTGCATTGACTGCTAAGTTCATCCAAGTATGGCTGCTCTGAACAATAAGAGTTACAGAATGCTCAAGAAGAAACCCACTACTAGTTGAGAGCACCACATTTGTTAGTAATAGCCATAAAATGAGATTTACTGAATTTAGCAGGAGATGTGGAAATCTAATTGCAGTTGCCTTTGGAAAGGACACTATGATCAGCTCCTCACCTGGTTTTTGTATAACTGCATTACAGGCGTTTGCAATTTCTTCTCTCTTTGCCTCGTCTGGATATTGATTCTCATTGAAGTAACTGCAAAGGAGGGGGGGAGGAAAAGGTTTTTTCAGAAATCAGAGCAGGAAGGTTCCAAACTAGAAGATGTCAGCTGGTAGCTTGCGTATCATTCTTACAGAGATAACATAGATGAGGCAAATTTTATGTAAACCAGTATATGCATAAGGTTATAAGCACACAGTCATATTCCCACAGAGTGGATAAAAGTGTGCAAATGCCTCAGGTAAATTAATATTATCTCAGCATTCAGAATACTGTACTCGGAGATACAACACAGCAGACAATGCTATGAATATCAGAGTTGAGACTGTCAAGTGACACATCGTGTCAGAAGACATCACAGGCCATGCCTCTGCCTTTTCTTAATCTTTTTTTTTTTCCTGACATGACCCCAAGTCAGGCAGCATCCTACAAATGCAGTTGTTCAATATTTATTTTGATCCCTGGGTTAACATATACATGCATACATACTTGTATATATATTATGCACAAACACACACAAATACTGTGGATTTTAGACACATATGGTATGAAGATTGTTCAGACAAAATTACACAGTGACACAGTAAGACTTCCAGAGTCAGACTAGTGGTTTTTTTAAAATCATAGTTTAAAAACTTTAAAAGTTCCACAGAACAACATATCAAACATAACATATTTTTATAATTTTTTCTTAATAATTGTGATTTTATTGCACTCAATATGCAGTAAACATCCTATAAAAGTTAAACTTCTTTTTACTTAATGTGTTTTACAAATTTTAATGAACTTATTTACATTTTATAGAGCTTATCAGATTTGCACTAAAACCAACAGAGTCCTATTTACTTCAACCAAGTCTGATAAGAATGCCATAAGCAGGAACTATGAAATTTTTTTTCCTGTAGATAATAATACATAATCCTAAGAATTCTTTGATCAACTTCAATCAGCAGCAGGGTCAGCAGCTGAACAGCTGCTGTGTATTTGAAAGTAAGTTATGTGCTTTAATTGTAAATAATTTAGACAATTATTATTTTCCATGGTCATATTTCAACTCTAGTAGATCGGCTCCAGCACAGTTACTTTCTGTGGAAACCTGGATTCTGTTCCATATAGCAACTGCTTCTGTCCAACCTTCTTTTGTATAAATGGTACTAATGCAGATCTCACAATTTCACTTTCAGTTTATTTCAATTCACTGTAAATACAAATTTTGAACATTCAATTTGAATTTTAGGTACCACTTCTTCATCCCATTGCTCCCAGTGTTATTTACAGTTGCAGCTACACCATATTGCAAAGTTGCTACTCGTTGACTAAGAAAAATCACACATTAGCACAGCTAGTTGCACTCTTAATGTACTTCCACTTGATTTGCTAGCTGAGAGCAAAAGAAACCACAGAAGTAGCTCTAGCTCCATCGTCACTAAAGGAAGGGCAGACTACATCTCTACTACCAATTTGGGCTTTGGAAGCAATCACATTTACACACAAACATCCACTACTTCTTCCCCAGACTTCTGTATTGCTCTTACAAAGTAAATCTGGAGAGACTGACCATAACTGCAACTCCCACCAGGCTGGATCCTACTCTGAAAAAACAGCTGAGATTTTGCTATTAGATCTGAAAAGGGGGAAACATGGTTACACTGACTTTCTGGGAGGCTGGCACTCCACTAGTACCAGCAAGAGAGCTCTCTGAATTATCAGCAAGAGGGTTTATTTTTAACCCCCCCACCCCTTCCTGCAATATGTCCAGTCTCTGGGCATAACATTTTAAAAAGTATATTCTTACCTTTTCCAGATGTAACAACTGTTTCATCATTATAGCCTTTGAAGTGATATCAGTATCTATCTTAGATTACAAACTTCTGTTCAAAGGGGTCATGTTCTGTACAAAGATTTTTTTTTTTTAATTGGAAAATAGACCAGAAAATGTTTTTTCCCAGTACTTAGTGATAGAAGCAGAAGCTCAGGATCCCAGTCCCAACTGCCTCACAACAGCATCTGAGCATTCCCACCTACAAAATAGAGATCTCCACACTTTGTCCAGAGCCAAGAACTACTTCCTCTTTTAAGTGCCATGACACAAAGGAACATCAAGATACCACAGCTGGAATCTGCTGTACTATTATTTACGTGGATATATCACATGACCCAGAGTCCTAATCACAAATCAAGGCCATAACTATGTGTACAAATACTAACCTGACAGATCTACACAGTGATGTACTAAAACTAGAAGGTGAAACCCTGATGTCATGCTATTTTCTGGATCTAGATCATCTGTGATCACAAAACTGCTCGACAATGCCTACCTTTATGGAAAAAATGACGGAAGATTTAAAATTAAGAACTGGTTTATACTTGAACTGCCCAGTCTTATGTTGATGTGAGAAACTGAGACACCAATTAATAAAGAAAAGACAACACAAGAGCCACTAGTGACGCTTCTCTTGCCATGTAACTGAACACCATCCCTTCAGCAAGCTACTGATTGCCACTTTTGCTGGCTCCAACAAAAAAGCTCACGTGTTCTAATAGTAACAAAACTTGGGCTCAAGTTTACAATTCTCAGCGATAATAGGAAACCTCCCCATGATGGAGCTAATTCAGAACTGGACAATGAATGTTATATCTCTTCCGGCAAATGAGAAAGTTTCTTTGTGTAGTTCAATCATTTCTGTGATTTAGAAAAAGCTGGCTGCTGAAACACTAATTTTTAACACATTTTATAGCTGAATAAGCTATATTTTTCTTAAATTGGATTAAAACATATTTTTCATCATTCTGACATTTTCTTTAAATTCTAACCCAAACTTCTTATCTTTTAACATACATGTCAGAGTTTCCACAAGAGAAGTGATTCCCACTTCAAAATCTGAAACCCTTTACCTTCTGAATCCTTGTTTTACAAAAAAAATCCAAACATGTCTGGGTTTTTTGATGGAGTTAGACTTCTCTCAGTGATGACCAGTGATAGGACAAGGGGCAATGGGTGCAAATTGGAGCATAGGAGGTTCAAGGTGAATATCCGAAATTTTTTTTTTACTGTGAGAGTGACAGAGCCCTGGGACAGGCTGACCATGGAGGTTGTGGAGTTTCCTTCACTGGAGACATTCAAAACCCACCTGGATGCATTCCTGTGTGATGTACTCTAGGTGACCCTGCTCTGGCAGGGGGGTTGGACTAGATGATCTTTCGAGGTTCCTTCCAACCTCTAGGATTCTGTCATTCTGTGATTCAGGCAGTTCTCCTGGCAAATGAGACTTTTTCATGGAGATCACTAAGTTAAGCCAGTTCTACTAGCGGGGAGCTGGGAGGAAACTAAGTAATTAAATACAGTTTGCACAGTAATTTTAGTACCTGCCTCTCCTTCTACCTGCTGGCTTATTCCTTATCCATATTAATTATGTGCCTCTTCCTTCTCCCATACACTCAAGCTGCCTATGAACTTGTCCAACCCTCAACTCATGCTTCCCAAACTTGGACTTTCTCCTCAAGTTCTCCTCATAATATTCTTCTCCATCACCATATTGTGCTTTTAATCTTTGATAGAGACTATCAGCTGATTTTATCAGATAAAAATCAGTTCATTCTCAGAAGTATTCAATCTTAAAAGATCTCATAACTACAGGTAATCAAAACCATACAGCCTCAGCCACAAGAGTTGATTTTTAATCCTCAGCCTCCAAATTCTACACATATACACTCTATTAACATCTTAATGTTTCATCCCATCACTTACTTTGAAGTCCTAAGAGGACTTGCAGGTAACATACCATGACACAAAGCACATTTAAAATCTCTCAACATTTCTGAAAAGTAGGTAAGAATAACCGAGTTTTCAAGACAAGAACCCATGGCAAGAAATTCTATACTTCATCATTGCCTGGTTTGGTTTTTTAGAAAATTGTCATCACACTGAATTTTCTGATTATGGTTCTTCTTGAAAGCAGGAAAGTAATTAATCTGCCTTCAGTTTTGTTACTTATCTGCAAGGTTTACCCTTGCGAAGGGACAAGGAAAGAACGCGGAGTGTCTGAATTTCTCTTCACAGCTACAAGCCACGGCCTGTTCACGACTGGAAAAGTTCCTGAAAACTACAGATGAAAATATATAAAGCAATAGAAACTTAAAAGGAAAAAAGAAAAAAGAGCAGGCACAAGTGAATCCTGCAAAGGCACACTGCTTCCTAGACAAAGGGCAGCTGTCAGCTGAATACCTTCAATGAAGAAACCAAATGATCTCTTTTGTAGAAAATGACAGTGGAGGATTAAAATGAAAAGTGGCCAAATAATTTACATGAGATGAGAATCCACATGATGGTAAAGAATGTAGATATCCTTGAAGTGGTTTCATTTCAATAACACTGAAGTCTAGAAAAATTGCAGATTCAGAGAAATCCTCCTTCTTTCAGGGATAATGTGATTAGGACAATGACGGAGAGAGAATCCATCTCAGCCTCAAGCTCTGTAATGGAAGGAAACGCATTTCCCCCCCTCTTTAGCAAGGTGCCCCTATCTGAATTCCTGCAATAACTGCCAATCTTTTTTTTGCTTGGCTGTACAGCTTCTGTTATCCAGGCTTAGATATCAGATGCATTAAGCAATGTCTCAGTAGTGTTTCTGATAATCCACAGTGGAAGTTTTGCTGCTCCGTATCAGCTTTGCAGCTGCCAGGCAAGTGTTTTAAACGACCCAAGCGACAGAGCAGCAGAAGGACAGGCATGTTCCGTGTTTTCTCATGGGGTTGGATGTCAGATACAGACAGACGAAACTCCAGCATTGCTCAGAATACTCCGGGCTGGGCAAAGGCTTAGTTTATAGCATGACATAACAGTAAAAGCTTCTAAGTGTGGAAGTGATTCAAAGGAGAGAGGCTCAAAAGCGTTGCGGGTTAACAATTCACTGCAGGTCAGCCCTGACAGAGAATTACACACACTTGAGGTGAGGTAATTCAGGTATGTGTACATCAGGTCAACCTCACTGGAAAGAAGGATAATTTACCTTGCAATTAACAGGAGGTAGGAATAC